CTCTGCTAAGTAAAATCAGTTTGGTTTTAGAGCTTTTGTTAGCTCAATCACTATGTTCTCTGGTCTGGGCACTTGAATAGGTCACTTTAATGTTATTTTTTTATATAAAATTAAAAAATTTTTTTTATTTCATTTTACAATGTGGAGCCAATGCCTTCTGGTAAACCATTAATTATGTTCATGGACCTCTAACCAATCATCAAGCTCTTTATGTGTGTGCTCTGAGGTGTGTTTGATAGTGTGCTATTATGATATATATTAGTCATCTAATGCTTACAATAAAATATGCATCTTTGTCATAGTAGATCAAACCCCATAAAATAATGAAGTAATAAATTTTTAGGTAACCAGTTTTATTGGTAAGTCATAATCATGCATTTTAGCAGAAAGAGATGGACTTAATGCTAGGAGGATATAGGTTTTGTCTCACTATGTCTGACGTTCCAATTTGCTAAGAAGAAATTCTCTTTATGTGATTGGTTAATATTTAAATGCCACAATTTGCTCTCATTCAACTTAAATTTTCTCAATGTATTTCAGGTTAAGAAAAAACATTGAGGACGAAACACATCAACACTTGGATGCCCGTTCAAAGACCAGGTATCCTTAAGTCATGGCCTCTCGTCCTGGTTCGATGCATTAGAAATAACTCTCAAAGATAGAAGTTTGAACTTTAATTGAAAAAATAATGAACTATCTTTGCCTTTAAAAAACAATGAACTATCTTTGCCTTTAGGCTTACATAACTATTATAATGAACTAAACCCAGTCTTGTAGAACACGAAAAATAATAAAATAGGAAAATATAAAATGATCTTGTAGAACCACATTATAGATTAGACTATATATATGAAATGGGAGCAACTCTAGTTTGTGGAAAAATCAGATTAAATGGGAGCAACTTTGCAAATGGCAGATTATTTGGGAAAAAAACAATGAAAAAAACATATTGGACAACTTGGGTTGAAATGTTCACGGGTCATCGGAGCTCTAGTTCACGGCTAAAATCTTCGGATTAAGACAGAGGAAGAGAAGGAGACATCGGCGGATGAAATCACGACTGAAATCTTCTGATTAAGACAGAGGGTTGAAATCTTCGAATTAAGACAAAGGAGAAAAGGACAGACCGTCGATGTTCGCCACTGACTTCAATTTGCCGCTGATCGTCGTTCACCGAAGTCCGAAGAGAGAGGGAAAAAGTGAATTTGAGGGAAGCTGAATGCGAGGGAAGCTCTGTGTTGAATGAAAAACAATTCAAAAAAAAAAAAATTAATCAAACTTCATTTGAGCCGTCCTCTCCAGCCCTTCTGACGTGGCCAAATCCTGGCCCTGATAGAGAGAAATGGCTAAAGGTTTGACTGGAGAGGACCCAGACTCTATTTCAACAACCATCACAAAACTATTACTTTCATTCAGTGTTGTTGCCTCACAATTTATTCCCTTTCAATTTTGTAGTTCTCAACATTGTTATTTTTCATCAATGGTAAGTAATTCACAACTGGTTGAAGTTGGTTTCAATTATTAATTGACAGTGAATTTTCATTTGGGTTCAACAGTTTGATTTTGTTAATTATCTTAAATAATATTTAATTATTTATAATAGATGTGATGGGTGTAGAAGTTGACAGTGGTGGTAAAGATAAAAAAATATATATAAAGTGATATAAGATTAATGGCAGAGATAACGAGCTAAGGTTTAGAGAGTTGCGGGTTGAAATTGGGAGTTAAAGGTTGGGGCTTGGTTCCAGAGGGTTGGTTGTGAAACCAATAAAGAGAATAAAATGTGTGTTAAGATTGAATTACTGTTGGTGTTTTTTTAATGTTAGCGTTAACATTTTCTTATATTAAAATTATCCTAAATTATTCTTTATGGCTTAAGCCAAAATACATTGGCATTCATTAACTTTTGAGGTTAAATATTGGACAACTTGGTCCTCTTTATATTCATTTTGCAATAGATAACAATTCAAGGCAACCACTAATCTTGAGCCGATCGCCTGTCCGTCCCTTCCAAATTATATCACAAATTATTTCCTCAAATTTGTAAGTACAATATTAAAAAGGAAAAATATCCATTCAGTGCAAGTGTTAACAAGTTATTACATATTAACAATAAATTTTATAAATATTAAAACATTATATCATATATTTACTTATAAATATGTAAATACTTTTTTGAAACCACCAATGACATATAATTACCCTATTAAAAAGCCCACAAACCCATTAGATAAATGCCGAGTTGGATTTTTTTTAGGCATATATTTGCTTTTTCATTGTGTTGATTATTCAGTAGTTATATTGTGATTTGTAAAGAAGGTGGGTAGGTAAAATATTATGTTGGATAACTGAGAAACATGAGGACATATGATTAGGGGTGTAAATGGTTCGGTTCGATCGGTGTTGAGAGTATATTTAGCACCGAATCGATTATTTCGATTTTTATGATTGAGAAATCGATATAGACCATGATACAGTTCGGTTTTGTCAGTTTGATGTAGAATAAAATTTATATGAAATTTAAAAGGTTTTATAGTAGATTATAAAATTTTACATTGAAAATAAATGAAGAAAATATATGAAAATTGCATAATAAATATTTTTCTCCCCAATATTTTTAAAAACAAAGTATATTAAGTAACTTATCATATAATGTTTAAGAAATTATAATATAAAAATATTTAAATATAATATTCGATCAGTTCGATTTGCGTTGACATAAAAAATTTCAAAACAAAAACAGACCGTATTTATGAAAAATAGCTCAAAAACTAAAATTTCGATCAATTTTTATCAGTAGGCTCGATTTTATCAATTTTTCTTACATCCCTCAACATGATAAATGATAAATTAATTAGGAAGTATAGGGGCAATTTGGGAAGTTAGTAAAAAGCTAGCGGTTAGCTTTTAACCCATTTTAAGTCACATCACCTCTCATAGTTTTTACGCACAAAAAGATAAAAAAGTCAAAAAAATCAAAAAAATCAATTTTTAATGAACTTCCCAAATCACTGAGAAATTAATGTTTCTACACACCTAACTATCTCAATCCACATCATTTCTTAATATACACACTTTGTAATTTAATTATTAATTAATTTTTTCAATCCACACAATAAATGTATTAATTATACCTTTCACTTAACTATTGTATACACACTCCCTTAACCCTTCTTCCACACACTTGTCTCTCATTCCATACACTGGTATGGTTTGAAAATTTGTAGAGTTACAGTGTTATAACGATCAAAGTAAAGATCCAATTGAAGAACACAGTCAAAACGAAGACCACGTTGAATAACCAAAAAGCAATACTAGACAGGCCCCTCAAAAAAAAAAACACTTGATAATTAAAACAAAAAATGAAAATGTGTGGACTAAATTTACGGTAGTTGTGATAATCCTGACTTTTCCTTTGGAAAGATTAGGCAACGAAAAGATGAGAGTGAAAACAGGGGCAACAACCAGTTTGAGGGATGAGGAACCCACAAAAAGCCCTGGAAGGTTGCTTGACCCTAGTAATATCGCACTTTCATCACATAATGGAAGAAGCACAAAGTATACACTTAAAATCTGCAAATTAAAAATTTTGAAGAACTATAATTACAACAAGCATTGAAATACCTATAAAGCACAATTAAGAATTTCCTTTCGTTTTTTGAATTAGTATTGCCGATTGTGAGCTTTCGGTTGTAATTTTTCGAAATTATGTATTTATTTCGAAAATTTACTTATGCATAAAAGTGATTAGTTTGATAAATTTATTTCAAAAAATAAAAAATAAAAATTTGGTAATTGATATCCGAATATAATGAAATAATTCTGCAGTTGATGTCCAAATATAATGAAATAATTTGGCACTGATTGTCCGACTGAAAATCGCGAAAGAAAAAAAGAAAAAAATTTGCACGAAAAAACTAATATTTTTATCACTAATAGAGTATAAACTTAAATATTAAAACAATATGAGAGTTATTATGAAAGTATTACTTTGCAAGCAATAAAGGAATATAGAGTGTATAACAAGTAAGGTGACAACAATATAAAAACTTTGGTTTAGTTTTTTTTACTCAAAATGTGTACATTGAGATTTTTTTATTTTTAAAGGATGTATACAGAGTATTTTCATATAACATTATGGAGGTTAGTAGATGTCCATTATGGTCATTTTAGTTTAGGGTATAATTGTCATTAAAATAATATTTCATTAAGTGTGTGCACTGAGGTAACTAGGTCTGTGGAAATAGAATTACTCTAAATCACCCCATAGAAAAGTGATATACGGGAGTATTCTATAATTTTTTTCTCCTTTGGCCTGCAATAAAAGGGCAATTTGGGAAGGTAGCTAAAAGTTAGTTTTTAATCAATTTTGAGTCACATCATTTCTTATATATTTTACACGGATAAAAAAAAATCACTTTTTAACCAACTTCCCAAAGGTAGTACTAGAGGCTCCAAAAATTCTACCAAAATTTTTTAAAAAAAACAAAAGAATTAATTTTTAACTACCTTCCACAAGAATCACTAAATGCTCCACTAAGATTCTACCAAAATTCGGTCATAGTAGTATATATTTTAGATTGTTTGTATATTGTTATGTCTTGGATTTGGGAATTTAATATTATATATATATATATATATATGTGTGTGGTGTGTTGTATATGTAGGCAATTTATATGTTCTTTCAATCTGTTTGATGAATTATTAAAATAAACTTATTTTGTATTTTTTTTCTCCTCATTCTACAAGTTTTGTATATTTGTATGGATAAATTTATTATTATTGCAAATTTATATTAGTAAAATATTAATAATTAATATTTTTTTATTTTCAAAATTAATTAAGTTAATTTAAATAATTAATTAAAATAAAAAATATGATTAAAAAATACAATAATTAAAATAATTAAATAAAATAATTTTTTTTTTTTTTTATATTTAAACTAATGAAAAATAAAGAGTGTGATTAGAGTTATTTTATATAAATCACACACCCCAAAATCTGCTAACATTTTTGTTTCCGAAATCTCCCCAAAGACGTGTTGGCACGGAACGTCTCACAATCCAGGTGGATGCAGTGACTTCTGACTGGTCAACGTGGTTACTGTGGAAGGAGCCACCAGCACCATCAACAGCAACAAAAACAAACAGCAAAGCAAGCGGGAAGCAAAAAATGCTTCGAATACGGAGAAAAAACGAACCAGTGGTCCACAACCCCCTTCAACAACCCTACACTACACTACAATCTCCGTAGAACTCGCTTGTTTCCCTCGCCGCCATGGATGAGGTTAGGGCTACGACCGCTTGGGTCGCCTCTCGCTCTTCTCACGTCTCAGTCGACTCCTCAGGTCCCCTCTCTCTCCGTCTATCTCAGATTATACACTCATTTCATGTAAAATTAATAAAGAATTGGATTGGAGCGATGCTGTCAGTATATAGATGAGCTCTTCTCTCTCTCTCTCTCTCCCTCTCTCTCTCTCTCTCGTCAATGATGATGTTGTGTGTGCAGGAATTGAGAGAGTTGTGGACACCATCAAAGACTCAATCCCAAAAGTCGACTGGGATTTTGAAGGGATTCACTATTTTGATAATGGCCCTCTCACTGTTCAGTACTTGTTTGTCTTGGATGCTTTGAATTTTTGTTTTTGGCCTGGTATGTATGCTCATTCACTCTCTCTCTCTCTCTCTCTCTCTTAAATTTTTTTTTTTTTTTTTTGGGGTAACAGTGCTGTGGTTTGTGTGGTGACTACTATTTGGGGCCATTCCTGCCGTACTTTTGTTTATTTATTTTGATGGGAGCTTTTACTATTTTTGTTGGCCACTACAAGAATTGCATTTGTCGATCTATTTCCCTAACCTTTGATTGGGTGATTTAAAAAGAAAAGAAAAGAAAAGAAATGCATTTCAATTTTTTCATATCATCTATTTGGATTAGTGAGGAGGACAGAAATGGGTGAAATAAGAAAGAAATGGAGAGAAATCATTTTTTTAATATATTCTAATTTTGAGATTGTGAGAGAAAAAAAAAAATCACTATTTTAATATTTTTTCATAATACCAAAATTGCCTCTTTAGATATAGAAAAAAATATAAATAATGACCTGATAAAAGATTATTTTGGTAACATAATATGAAACTGTCTACACTATCCTTTCTCTTCGTATACTTTCTCTCCTGAGTAATCATTTATTTTATTTTATCCTCTTGTGGGTTCCAAACGGAGTATAAGTTCAAGAAAAGAAAAAGAATATATTTTCCCTTGGTTTGATATCAATAATGATGGTATACTCAAACACCCTTGTTCTCGACCAAGATATGGTGCAATCTTATGCGTGAGAATCCTATTTATGTTATGCTTATTAATATGATTAGAAGACGTAGTGTTTCAATTCCTTGTTCATGATTTGGAGAGGGATTTGAAAAGAGAAAAGGAAAATGTATGTGAAATGTAATTAAATTTCACTCATATTTTACCTATCTTTTCGTTTTCTCTTTTCAAATTCTTCTTCAAATTCATGAACTAAACATAGCCTTAGGAACGTATGATGAGAACACATACACAAAAGCACTACAAAACTTGGTTGGAACATTGCCACTTTATTGGCACTGCAATACTTCTATAAAGAACATTTGAGCACAATAGTCCATCGATGCTTTGGTTAAAAGACACCTTACTTATTTGTTGGCACTTCATGCCTCTCCAGTCTCCACCTCCATTACAAATAATCATTGTAAAACTTGGTGGTTTATATTCAAAGGTTGGGAGTTTTGCAAAAAAGTTCAAAATTCTGTTGGAAATGTGAAGAAAATAATTATGTCAGGATATGTCTGAATTCTTTAGGATATCATAGCTGTAAATATTTAGATTTAATAGAAAAGTTTATATTTAGAATCAGAATTAGTAGCTAATTAGTCCTCAGAATCAGTAGCTAATTAGTAGCTAATCAGTCCCTAATTTTATGCCTTGTATCTCCTATAAATAGAGGTGCTGTATACATTGTTTAATATGTGAGAATAAGAAATATTATTTTGTCTAGCTTTCATTCTTCATCTGTGTAGATGTCTCCAAAACCACAATGTGTTGTGTACATGTGGACAATGATGTGTACTTTACACATTAGCTGAAAGACTATGTCTATGCGTGTCTACGTTTATGGGACACATGTCTAGGTGACATCTTTGGAGGGCTTAGTAGCATTAGACTAACACGCCTAAGTTAACTGCGTGCTTGGGTCCTCAAAAGCTCAAAGGTAAATGGCTTCATATGTCGCAGTTGTTTCATTGCACTATGGTTGTTGCACCGTGCCATATTTATGTACCTAAGTCAAGAGGCAGGTTTTAGGTATGATGAAGCTTTTAAGCAAGGTACAGCGGGACTCTGGAATCTTGTGGGTTGGTGGCTAGAGATAGAGGTGTTGCTTGGTGGGATGCATGGTGGTTTGTTACTCTTTCAGGCCAGCCTTACAGAGAAAGAGTCTGCCACTGGGCTTACATATGGGATCTTGGGGATCAAGAAGAATCCAAATAAAATGATATATTCCAACACATCCCTTACATACAAAATTCTGGAATTTCAGAAAGTTTGTTACAGGGCACATGACTTACCTCCTATAGATAGAAGGTGGTGCCCTCTTTTCAGGAGGATTTTTGATACAGTACTCTTTGAGAGGTCATCCTTGAGCTCTAGATTTGAGCTTTATACTTTTGGTGCTCTACTGCCTCTCTCTCTCTTTGTTGTGTTGCTCTATCTCTCACCTAGACATCCTGTTTGTCCCTGGTGCCTGTGTTGTGTATTTCTATCAGGAAACTACTGCTCCTAAGTCCAAAGAGGATGGCCTTACCTCATTGCATATTATGAGATGGTTATCTGGAATATTGATAAGAAATTAAGTTATTACCCAAGTTCTTTCGTTGGACACAAATATTGAAATCTCATAAGATGATTATCTTTGTTGTGTTGCTCTATCTCTCACCTAGACATCCTGTTTGTCCCTGGTGCCTGTGTTGTGTGTTTCTATCAGGAAACTACTGCTCCTAAGTCCAAAGAGGATGGCCTTACCTCATTGCATATTATGAGATGGTTATCTTGAATATTGATAAGAAACTAAGTTATTACCCAAGTTCTTTCGTTGGACACAAATATCTAAATCTCTAGATTTGAGCTTTATACTTTTGGTGCTCTACTGCCTCTCTCTCTTTGTTGTGTTGCTCTATCTCTCACCTAGACATCCTGTTTGTCCCTGGTGCCTGTGTTGTGTATTTCTATTAGGAAACTACTGCTCCTAAGTCCAAAGATGATGGCCTTACCTCATTGCATATTATGAGATGGTTATCTTGAATATTGATAAGAAATTAAAGTTATTACACAAGTTCTTTCATTGGAAACAAATATTGAAATCTCATAAGATGTGTACATTTGTATAAACTTAGTGGATGCAACTTTGTCTATTCATATTTGAACATATTGCCACCTCTTGGTTGCTTTCTATATTTGTATTATCTATCAAAATCTCTAATTGCAACTTTGCCAAACTTTGGCATTCATGCTTGAGTTGACTGCAGTGCAGTTTCAAGATACTAGAAAAATTGTAATCTAGATATAGAATTTGTGTTTGATGTAGTTGTGCTAATTTTTTCTCACTATTTTTTCTTAATTTCTTAATTTTTTTTAAAAAAATTTATTGTCTATTGACAACAGATAAGGATTTAAGTTATGATCATTTGGCTTCGGGACTAAAGGCAGCTCTTCAAAATGACAAATCTGTGTTTGATGCTGATCGTCTGCAAAAGTACACTGGTATTTTGGCTTCTTTGACCTTTTAGGCCTTGTTTGGGAAGTTGGCTATTTTAGTGGGCTATTTTAGTTTTTGACTATTTTAGTATGCTAAAATTTGTGTTTGGGAAGATGATTGGATTTTTTTGTAGTTGGATGTGATGCTTGTGAGAGAAAAAATGAAATGATTATAGGTTTGATGTGACACTTGTCTTATTAGCTATTTTAGCCTAAAAAGCCAAATTGTAGCCCTTGCCAAACAAGGCCTTAATGTTCATTTCAACATGTAATTTATCCAAAAAAAATATTAAATAAAAAATGTTCATTTAAACATGTACTTGCCTGTACATCCAATATGAAGAGCTCTCTTTCTCTCCAACTTTCCTAGAGTAACATAGTACATTGGATATTAACTGCATAGTAGCTTCATATGAAGATGGACTCGCATTAGTTTTTTATGTATGCAAATTTGGCCTGTCTTGATTGCAACTTGCTATTATTTTTTAGTAGAAAGCTGAATTTTGGTTCACTTTAAATGAATCTAGCTTCTTTGTACGGGCATATTTTCCTGCTCGACCTGTGTCATGTTTATAACCAGGAATCTGGTTGCTGTCATTAAAGAAATTCTCTCTCTCTCTCTCTCTGTGGCAATGATTGTTGTGATTTTTGTTATCAGGTCCTGAATTACGCAAATTGTTGAAATGGCCAAGGCCACTTCCTCTAGAGGATGAACGAGTTCGCTTATTGCATGAGGTATCATTTTACAGATTTTGATACCCATCTTGTGTATTTATTCTGTCTTCACAGGTTTTATGTCAATCTTGTTGTCAGTTTGTCTGGTTATCTAAACAAATTATTTGTTTGCGTAATTTAATGTAAATGAATCAGGTTGGGCTTGAACTGGAGAGAAACTTTGAGGGGAAAGCATCCAATCTTGTGGACTCGTGTGGGAAATCAGCAGTAAAGCTTGTAACTCTTGTTACTCGTCACTTTCCTGGTATCTTTAGCTGTTGCGTATTGCATTTAAATTTATATTAATTAACATGAAAATTATTTGATTTGGTTATATGCTTTATGGCAAAAAATGTTGTGGAATACTTTTATGAACTGTAAATATTATACAAATATTATAGGTTTCCGCGACCATTCGGTCTACAAGGGCCACCAGGTATTCTTGTATAAAAGAGCTCAGATATTTGCGGCAGATTTATTGGGTGCATTCAAGGGAAAAGGATATGGAGAGTTCAATGACAAAGGGGCAATTACCATATTTGCTGACTATATAGTTCCAGCGGTGCTTCGGCAACTTGGTGTGCTGAGATATAGTTCAGCCCTAGCTGGCACTATTGAGGCTGAAGGAGAAATTGATTCAGGCAGTGAGGAGGAAGTGGAACTGCGAGCATGCTCAGTATATGCTGTAGAGAAAATGAGGGAGTTGATGTGGAAAAAATTTGGAAAGCAGGTCTGTTCTCCATCTTTTGTATCGTATCTTTTCCCTTAATCTGGGGCAATTTCCACTTTTGACTCTGTTGCCAGTATACTTCTTTGTGGTTCTGTTGTTATGGTTCTTGTTTGCTGTACATTTAAAACGATGGTTAATTTCACTTTTATCCCCTAGACTATTGCCTTTTTTTCTATTTCATCCACAAACTATCATTTTCATCTATTTAGTCTCTATAGTTTTGGATTTCAGTTCATATGATCCAATTGGGTACACTTGTCAAACACCCATCAGATTGGTTGTAGGGTGTAGTTTGTTGAGCATTTAGTTGTATGATTTAAGTTGTTTAAATTTTGAAATGACCTTTTTGCCCCATCAAATTAGGTTTCGACAATTACTGGTTTGTAAAATCATCTCCAATTGGTCCACATGAATTAAAAACTGAAACTTTAGGGGCGAAATATAAGAAATTGATAGTTTGGGGATGCAAAAAAAAAGGATTGTGATAGTTTAAGAGGTAAAAAGAGTGCTCTAAAAAGTGACAGAATGATAGAACTGAGGAAAACCTAAAGAGTTATAGATTGGCTAATAAGGAGGTCAAGAAAGTAGTGAGAGAAGCTAAGTTGAAAGTTTATGATGACATATACACTAGACTAGATAGTAAGAAGGGAGAGAAGAGGGTATACAAACTTGCTAATATAAGAGAGAGGAAAATAAGAGATTTTAATCA